TATGTAGTGGTAAAGACCGGGTATTTATAGATTTACATTTGTGCATAAGTAAAGTAAGTTAAAGGTAAAGTTAAAGTATACACAGTACACATTATTAATCTTTATACTTTACAGGTTGTCATTGAACAATTTGCCAGCCACAGGCAGGAATGATTTCCTGTGGCGTTCTGTCGAGCAGCGTGGGCGGATGAGTCTGTCACCGAACGAGCTGCAGAGGCTAATCAAGACATGATGGAGAGGGTGTGACAGAAAGTCCAATATTGTCCTTACTTTGGACAAAGTTCTCCTCTCCATCACCACTAGAGGGCACCCACCAGCACAAATGTCCCACAAAAAAGTTGGAATTTACTTAAAATATAATTTATTTTTTGGCGGCTTTTAATGCCTTTAATGGACAGGACAGTTGTAGAGAGACAGGGGACAGGGGGAATGACATGCAGTACGCTACCGACAACCCCTAAAATATAATTTTTTATCAGAAAGAATCAAACTAAAACATGAATCATTATTATTAGACACTAATGTGCAGCTGCAGAGGCTCTGGGCCCCATCCAGTCTTCGGGGACGTTCTGCTGATGACAGAGACTCTGCGTTGTTTGACCGAGGGGCTGAAGTCGAATCTGTTCCACTTCAGTCTGATTTAATGTTTGACCTTTGTCTTCATGTGTAAAACTTCCTGTGTCATGACATCATCCATCTCATGAATTGAAACATCGACACGACGCTCGTGAAGCACTTTGTAAAATATTTTATCACTGAAGCTGCTGTTTGTTTTTAAAGCCGAGATGATGAAGGAGGTGGAGTCTGTGTGGGTCTGACCTGAGGCCCACGTGTTTAAGGTGTTGGGTGCGTTTGATTGTGTCTGACTGCGTCTGATCTCCTCACGTCATCTGCTGCAGGGGTGGAGTTTCAAACACAGACATCAAGTTGGACACTTTTGACTTCTTATGGACGAGACGAGAACAATGACCGGTCTCACAACGTTTGATTTTTCCGTTGCAGATAAAACTGAAGTTTAGGAAATCCTCTTTTTGAACAAAGAACAATGAACAACAAAGCTGACTGAACTTTCCACCGAAGCGAAGAGTCACGTGTCTCGTTTCGCTCCGTGAGACAGCAGAGTTGTGTTTACTGCTGTGTATGGAAGTGGAGAGGCCTGTTCCTGAACGCAGCACGCAGACTCCTCATCCTTCTCCCGCGCAGCGCTCGAACCGCTAAGCTAGTTATTTCAAGGTCACATGACCTGGTGACATTTTGTAGCGCTGTGTAAAGTCGGACAAAACGTCTAACCAGCATGCATTGCATTATTTTGAAAGAAGATATCACAGTTCCTGTTCTTTAAAAATAAAAATATATCAGCTGATCTCAGCTCTGACCTGTAGCTGAGTTCCAACCGAACGTCTGGTTCTCCTCGTGGTTCTCATGTTTTCATGTTGGATCCACACACACTCACGTGTTGTGTTCATGAGAATCATCTGTAGAAGAATCATGTCTCTGTCATGTTGGTCAAACTTTGAAGAACCTGAACGAGACGATAGGTTTCACTTTTCTCTGTTTGATTGAATTAACTTTAATCACAAACCAAACATTAAGCATTTTAACGACATGGATGTTGACGATGATTAAAGAAACTCTCCATGATCCTTCATCAGGTTTGGTTATGTCTTTCTTTGCCCACTAGGGGTGCTGTCCTTATCAGCAGAGCTTAACACGACTTGATTTTTACAATAAAAGTGCAACATAAATACATCGAGTACGTTGTTGTTGTTTTTTAAGGTTGTAGACACAAACGTAAACAAGGTTAAATGAAAAGCTGCTGTTCAGTTTGAGAACATTCAGAGTTCAGAGGTCACGATGAGTCCAGCAGCTGGTTTCAGGGTCAAAGGTCAAACTGAGTGAAGCTCCTCAGAGTCGTTCTTGTTCCCAGCAGAGCAGATGGATTCACTCAGTACGTCTTCAGTTTGAACACTTTGCTGAGCCTGGTGGTGGCGCTGGAGTAGATGAGGAAGGAGCCTTCATTAGTGCTAAAGTGTTCCCAGTCTCTGCAGCCGAAGGTCGGCAGACTGTGGACGGGAACGAATCCCTCGTACCCCTGCCACCTGAAAACTCAAAATGCACAGAGTTGAGAACCTGAAAGACACAACATCCACACAGATGTCAGCTTCGACCGGAACTACCGACCTGTAGACAACGCTGGTCAGAGAGTGCGAGCTGCCATCGTAAGAGTTGGCCACCACCAGGAACTTCTCGTCTCCGATGGTGAAGAACTCCCAGTCGACCGCACTAAGCACAACAACAACATCAACAACATCTGAACAGGTTGGTCATTAGAGGGTGTAGTGAGCATGTTAGTGAACATGTTAGTGAACATGTTAGTGAGC